CCCCCCCCCTTTTCCCTCTTTTACAACTCCTTGATCCAGTATGAAATCCTTACCCCATGATGATCAATGAGACGTGCACTGTGAGTTGTTTAGCTGACCAAGTCCTTAAGGAATCTTTTTTTTTCACCCTTCCACAACGGTGGAAGTGTCCCCCAGCCAGTCAGCAATGCTGACACTCCTCTCCGTCTGAATTTTCAGCCTTCTGCCGCTGTAGATCCCAGGTGTTCCCACGAAAAGCAGGTGGCCCTCCGTTCTTTACTCAGCAGGATCTTAAACCCTACAGTCTATCTACAGGCATGTGGGAGCGCGGCCAGAACGCGCGCGGGAGGGTGCGGGGGGGGGAGGAAAGCGGGGAGGGAAGGATGCGATTACAACCCTTATGAGGAAGAAGGGAACCTGCTTAGAGAGTCAGCCCAAGAGGACTCGCCTCCATAGCCTTCCAGATCCCGTCTTCTCCGCACCCCCTTGCACCGCGGGCTCCAGGGGCAGCTCCAGCTCCCTGCCAGGGCAAGGAGGAGGTAGTAGCAGAGGCGGCAGCGGCGGCAGTAGCACCGAGCCAACCCTCCTTCCGCAGGGAGAAAGGGAGGCACTCGCCCGCCTCGAGCAGAGAGGATTAGAAAACCCACAGAGGCAGCGGTGGCGGCGCTTACGCCTCCGGCAGTTAATTTAAATGTCCTGGAGCAGCCCGGGCTCCGGATCGTCCTCAGTCCGTTTCAGGTGCAGAGCGGGATTCGGGGGTTTGCAGTGTGCGCAGCGCTCCGCGCCGCCCTTCCTTCTAACACTCCCGCCGGCGGCGGCAGCAGCAGGATGGGGGGTGTCGCTTCATTTTCCCAGGCAGCAGCAACAGCAGGAGCAGCAGCAGCAGCAGGCGGAGGGAGCCGCTTCGCCGGCGCTGACATCGGGCTCCGGTAGAACGGCGGCTGAGGCAGGGCACCGGCCGCGCATCCCCCTACGCAAGGACGGGATGGGGAAAGGGGGTGGCGGCGGCGGCGGGGGGGGCTAGGAGGAAGAGGCAGCAGGAGATGCAAGAACGCGGGCGGAAGAAGAGGGGGGGCGCCGCCGCAGCTCCTGATCCGGGTGAGGATGGGCTAGTCCCCTTCATTCACGCCCGTTTCTGCAGCGAGAGCGATTCTGTCCATCGGCTCTGGGCTGGCAGATCAATCACTCACAGTAGGAGCAGGAGCAGCAGGGAGGGAGGCAGGGAGGGAGGAAGAGAGGCGGCGTCGGCGCTGATAAGCAGCAGAATCTCTCTCTCGCCCCTCTCTGCAGCAGCAGCAGCGCCACAAGGCGGGCTGCTGCACCGGCCACCACAGCAGCAGGAGGAGGACGAAGGCGGCAGCGGCAGCTCCTGCCACCCAACAGCGACAGGCACCGTCGGAGGCGAGACGCGGCGCTTTCCAATCCCAGGCCGCCCCCCCTCCCCGATCCGTGCTCGGTCTCTCTCAAGCGCCTCTTCTCCAAATGCCACTCCGCGCTGCAGGTTTACCGACTCCTCGCCTTCCTCCCTCCTTGCCTCCCGCCCGCGCACACGCCTCTGCTTCAGTCAGGCTCTCTTTCCACTCTTGCCGGTTTCCCGCGCAGGCGAGGCACGGTGGAAGAGCGCCTCTCCCGCAGTACCACTCCGGCTCCGAGAGAGGAAACGACGGGAGGAGGCGGGCCCCGCTCGGTGTGTTCGCTCTGGCCCTCCCGCCGGTGCCCTCAGCCACCCCCTCCGAAAAGGGAGGAAAAAAGTGTGTTGCGTGGGGTGAGGAGAAGGGAGAGAGAGAGAGAACGGGCGACAAGGCTGCGGCTGCGGCGTGTGAACAACCCGAACCAGGCGCTCTCTACCCCGCCGCTCCACACAGGCCCAGCTTTTCCTGAGGGGAGGCGCGGCGCAGTCTCCCCTCAACTACTCCGCAGCCACTACTCCTTCCCAAGAACTCGACAGCAGCACCTGCTTAATTCTCTCGCCATCCTCCACAAGAGGACCTTTAAATAGGAGACGTCATCACGTTCCCCTACGCACTAGCGTCACTCACCGCTCCCGGCGCTGACGTCACCGGGTGCGGGGGATGATGTCAGAATTCTCCAAGCCGCCGGAAGCGCTTCTATAATAGGGAATGGAACGGAGGGGCGCGTGTGTGAAAATAGAAGAGGGATAGGCCCGGATTCTAAGTGCAAGCCCGCCTCCAGTAACTGCTTTTTCCCTTGGTCATTCGACCACCCCCGTTATTATCCTCAAAAATATATGTCAAAAATATAGGAGTTTCTTCTGGGATTTTCACCTAAATTTCCAAAAATGAAAACCTACCGTGAAAACAAGAAATATGTCTCCTGCAGCAAGACAAATCCAGATTTCGGGTGCTAGAAACCAGCGTTGCATTCAGAATTAAGAGCTAGGCAACGCCTTTAGTCTCACTTTCAGATTTTTTTCCACAACTCTTCAAATTAGTAGTGGGATCCTAGTTCTGGAACCACCTCAAATAATGATGTGGGTTTTTTTTTAACTGTATGAAAGGCTTTTACTAGAAAAAGCAACTGGTAAAAATGCATTTAAAAACTAAGTATGATTCACTCCTAAATCTAAGTTGGGAAAGAACACAGTAAAAGCATTTTTAGGCGAATCCCAATAAATGTGTTTAAAGATAGCTCATATGAAATTGGAAAATAGGTTGGCCAAGTGGCCAATGTTTGGAAAAGACAGAATTTCTTTTACATCTTGGATTGGTCACTATGAAGAACTCGTTTTCTGATTATTTTTTGAGTTTTGTTTTTCAAACTGTGTTACTGCTATAGATATTTCCAAGTTCCTTAAGGTTATTTCTCTCGTAAGATTATGACGGCTGTAGCTGTGGAAATGCTAAGAATCAAGTTCTGTCTTTGAGACACCAAAGGCTAAAAATGCACATTTTGCTCAACAATAATTTATTAGCAGCTGTTCCACAAGATTGAAGCTGATAAAAAGGTAGGAACTAAACAGCCCAGCCATCTCTGACTGGGATAGACTGGCAGTTGACTCCCCTCCTGGAGCTTCAGCTGTCATCAGCTTCTTCCTGGGTATAAGCTAATGCAACCCTTTCATCTCTGACACATTTTTGTGTCTGTTGAAGAATCCTCTTGCCATAAGAAGAGGTTAGAAGACCAAGAAATAATTGGGTGAACTGGAAATATAAAAGAGATTTTGGGAGGAGAGGGATTTTTTTTTGGTTTAATATGATTCAAATAGAAAGCTGGACAAGGGCATGGAATAGTAAGGAAGGGAAAAGTAGAAAAATGACAAAATTTGAAGAGATTATTGAAAAAAGATTGAAATTAGAGGAAAAGACAGAAAGAAAGGGAACCGTAAATCAAATATATAAATTATTAATTCAGGCCGAACAGGATACACAAGGATTAAAAACAATGGCAATATGATTTGAATAAAGAATAGGAGAAGAATGGGATAGAATGCGGGATCAAAGAATTATGAATAACATGTCTGTAAGGATAAAATAAAATTGTTATAAGGTAATATGGAGTTGGTATTTAACGCCAGTAAAACAAATACAATAAACAAAAATATCATCACTATGCTGGAGGTCTAAACAAAGAGAAGGGGACATATATACATATGTGGTGGTCCTGTGAAAGAAGAAAGCAAGAATGGAAGCAAATCTTTAAAGAAATGTGGAAAATGAGGGTTTTAAGATTTATGTCACTGAGAATAAGAGAAAAAAATTAAATTGGGCTAAAGATGGTATTTTGACAAAATTAAATAAAATTAATGCTAGTTATCTGAATGTCTGTTGGAAATGTGAGAAGGAAACTGGTACATACTTTCATATATGGTGGGAATATGAAAAAGTACAAAGATTTTGGAAACTAATCTTTAAAGAACTAAATGACATGTAAAAAAGATATAGAATTTAATTCTGAGATAGCTCTTTATTAATATTTGAGAATGTGGAATATGATAAGATGACTAAAGAATTGATTACCAATTTGTTAACAGCAGCTAGGTTAATAATAGCCAGGCAATGGAAATCAAAATCTGAATTTTTGAATGGATGATTAGTATAATGAAATATGGAATATAGCTATAAATGATAAGCTAACTTGTAATTTAAAGGTTAAGAAAGGAGTCTTGAAAAAGAATAATTTTTATGATATATGGGGCAGATTTTTGGAATATGTGTTAGCAAGAGGAAAAGGGAAAGCTCCAAATCAAGAATCAATGCAGTTCTGGAGAAGAGGACAATAATAGAAGAAGAATATAGATGGAGGAAGAAGAAGATTATTGCAGGAGGTCTCGTATGGTGGTGAGGAACACAGTTAATTTGTATTTTGGTGTATGTATTTTATGTTTATAATTATGTTATAGTTAAATGAAAATTTAATAAAAATACTTTTGAAAAAAGTATTCAGTATTAATCTATTTTATATACTCCTGACAACAATAATTAAATCCTATTTATTTCAACAGATTTAACCATAACTATATCTAGATCCAACCTACATATCTCCTCAGAAGAAATAAAAGATGGAGATTAATGTTTCAGTTCTTTCTACCAGTGACCAGTTTCATTTCAGCTTAAAATATCCCTTCCTCTCCTTGTCGTGTCTTTGTCTCTTGTTTGCATTTCTCTTTTGCCTCAGCCATTCGTGGGTCATATTTACCCTTCTTTGGTATATCTGATTCATATGTTTCTGTCTATTCTCTTAATGTTCTGATACTGACATTACACATTCTTCAGAACTCTCAACAACCTAATAGATCTCAATTGCCATCCCCATGGAAACCTCTAGAACCTTCTAATTCCAGAAGCATAGAGTAGGAACATAGTTTACAACAGCACCTTCTTTATTAACAACAACATTTCGATAAGGCAAAAAAAAAGGGGGGGTCTGAATTGTCTTGATAGATGCCTTCAGCAAGCATGGGCAGAAGTAGATTTCCCCACATCTCTAAGTCATTAGTTAAGTCTAATCTACTCAAGTTCTGATTAGGTAATGAAACCAAAATGTCTCACAGGAAACATTCACACCACTATTTATAGAGCTGCTTTTCCCAAAAGTGTTCTAAAGAGTATTTAAAAAAGCTAACGAAGAAAATAAGATGGGAAAGCAGTTTTCAAGCTTAAGCACAATTTGAATGAACTGCATTTCAATTACATTATATGTGCTCTTTTACTTGCTCGTGCATCCATTCAAAGTTTCAACATGTCTAAACCTTAACTACGTGACCAAAAATCATGGAATCTGGGCAATCTTTTCATCCTTCTCTTCATATGCAACCATGTTAAACTTCCTAAAGTGATATTTTACTATTAATAGCACAAGGCACTGTGTCACTAAACAAGAAATTGTGTTACCAAAGGATTTCAGATGATCAGTCTATGCTTTATAAAATACAGAAAAATCTTTGAAGCTTTGGAGGACTCGGCTATCAGTGAACACTCTCTACAGATAATGGTGGACCTTTGCTTTAGATTTGGCACTATTCAGGTGTAGGAGAGAAATAAAACTGGAAATGGATGGAATGGAGCTAAGGTCTTCTCCCATACCCAAAGTGAGTACGTACTGTATATACAAAATTTACAACACTCCTGGACAGGCCTAAGCACACATGAGTATGTCTTTCAAGCATCTGTGTCCATACTAGTAGACATAGTATTCACTGTACCCTGTTTGCCCGAAAATAAGACCTAACTTGAAAATAAGCCCTAGTATGATTTTTCAGGATGCTCATAATGTAAGCCCTACCCCAAAAAATAAGTCCTAGTTAAGTGAAACCCCACCCTCCACCATTGTGCAGCATTGTGCGGCAACCAGAAGAAGATTACATGACTGTAAAATAAAGCAGCCCCTGAGAATAAGCCCTAAGGCGTTTTTGGAGCAAAAATTATAAGACCCTGTCTTATTTTGGGGAAAACACGGTATTAACAAAACACGGTATTGACAGAAAACCCGGTGTCAATAAAGTGGAGATGACTCATTATGTTTTGCATTTCCCCATGACCTCACTATCAATACCCTCATACTCAACTATGTGTATTACGTAATTTGCATTTATGCCTGAACCTCTGTGTAACACTTTATGCCTCTGATAAAGCAAATTATATTCCAGAAAAGCTCATGGTGCAATAAATACATGTTAGTCTTTAAGATGTTACACAACTCCTTGTTGTTTTGTTTGTTGAGAACAATTGAACAAGTGCAGTATACTTAAACTTGGTTTTTAGTGGCTCATGCTCAATATATTTCAAAGAAACATCTCACAATAAGTTTAACAAAACTTCTTGAAGACAAGTAATACTGTGAATTATACTTAGAGCTAATTAAAAATATAATGGAGCTGCATATATTCCATTCATGTAAACGCAGGATGTTTGCTATTTTGAAACAAAAAAATATGGCTATCCTGTTTTTTGAGTCCATGTTCAAGCTATCAGATGGGCATTCGATTCTCCACTGCCTCCTTGAAAGGTTCTGTCTGTGGCAAAGGAGGTTGCATTAAAGCCATGCAGCAAACAAGACAAAATAAAAACTTGCCTCTCAAATCTCACAGAGGGAAGGAAAAAAGAATGTGTAGCTTTTGTTTCCCCTGCGCCCAGTTTGTGTATATTGACTTGGAAATAAACCCCTCCTATATTCTGCAGAGCTTATTCAAACATAGGATTGCAGCCCAAGTTCTTGAAAGGGACTGGGGTGGGTGTTAAAAGTTACTACCCTTAATTTTATTATTTGTATTATGACAGGACTAGGTGGCTGAGGATGGGAAGAGGACAGTTTCACCAAGGAACAAAAAGAAAATAATGTATGAAGGACTTCTAAAACACATCAACACAACTGTGACCGGCCATGAGTTTAGTTGTTTCAGTAATGTATGCATGCTGAAAATTCCAGCTCGTTCTAGGACTACTCTATTTATGGATCTTATGACTACACAGGATCTTATGACTACACAGATAAATAAGACTCCACAGTAACACTTCAACAAATACAGTACAGTATTTTTAAGCAGATTTGTTAGATGTTCTGATCCATATGTGGATAGCTTAGCAACCAAAATAAAAGATAGTTGTATGAGTATTATAGTTCTATGGAAAATATATATGTACACTGTGGTCAGAATAACAGAATGTTATACAGCAATGGTTCCCAACTTTGAGAAACTCGGGTGTTCTTTGACTGCAACTCCATGAGTCTTTTTCACCACTAGCTTTGCTGGCCAAAGTTTCTGTAAGTTGCAGTCCAAGAACACCTGGGTTACTCAAAGTTAGGAACCACTGCTATATAGGGAGCTCTTTTAGACCAGGCAGATTATTTGCCCGTCTTGCTCAGTGTTGTCTGTTCTAACCAGATCAGGGATTGAAAAAAATTGTTTTAAGGGGGACACCAGTCTACTAACATTTGCAGAGCAACATGCCTGTTACAAATTATGAGGACTGGTCAATCTGATTGCATAGGTATGCTGGAAAACATGCAAGGATTACGGTTGAATAACAATGGCTTCTGGAATCACAGTTAGGAACATTATATTCCAAGAATTATCTGAGACCACACTCTATGCTGGGTAGAGGATTCTGAGAAATGTAATACAAAAAGTAAAATACAGAGTCCCATGGCATATTAAATGCTAATGATTCATGGATGGCAAAACTATTCATGGATGGCAGCCTACTGCTTTCCCCTGCTCTATCTGGACCTTCTGCAAAATGCTGTGAATAAAGTAGGAGATTTTACACTACTATAAAAGCCTCATCTTGATGTGTCTGTCATCTTTGATTTGTAACCCTCCTGATTTTTCCTGTTGCCATTTCTGTTATTTCTTTTTCCTTGCCACAAGATAAGGATGAACTATTAAGAAGGGTAAGATGGAACAGCTGCATTATGGGTCATCTGTTTGGAAACATGGTTAAACAGAATGATTCGCTTGTCTGATGACATGCTCTAAATCCGTGTTTCAAAAGTGGAACCATGCATCACTGGTGAGGAACTGCTTATTCAGAAAACAGAGTGCATGAGGAACCTAGAGCTGCTTCCATGGAGAGGTGGTACCACTGAAGAACATAACATGGAAAATACTGCAGAATCTAATAAGGGACTGTGAAGGCAAAAAATGTTGTTACATATTATTCTCTCGCAAATGCAAAACCTATACTGCAAATAGAACCGACAAAAGCAACTGTTTATGATATTCTAATAACACTGTCTAGTTCACTTGTTTTCT